TGATTCTATGATTCTATGATCCTGGGGCACATCTACCTCTCTTATGAGTCTATCACCTCCTCATGGACTTCTTATGAGAAGCCAAGATCTCCAGAGGGACCACTTCCAGTCTGCAGGAGAAGAGGAATTCTTCCCATAGACCTATCACCCGAATAAATCATTGTTTAAAAAATAATCCCCCACAATATGAGTTTAATCCCAGGGTTTTAGACAGGTACTGCACGAGTACAGTGTGCCACTGCCTCACACTGCTGTGGGAAAGTATCCCACCCATAAACCAGCAGTGATCAACACTGCATGGACAGCAGCCCCATTGTTATCTGGACAGATGTCCTCTCTTTGTGCAGTGGGTTCCTGCCTCCAGCTTTTGTTCCAGGTATGTCAGAATTTCACATGGTTTCTGGGAATTTCCTTCTCTTTCCCACTTTCCACAGAAGCCCTTGGAGTCTGAGGTCTGCACCTCAGTGCAGCTTCTCCAGGGTTACCAATGCCAGGTCCAGCCCACATGCTTCCACCTGGAGTAGGAAAGCTTAAGGGTTTTCCTCTCTTGTTATTTAAATGAAAAGCCACAAACATTTTTCCATAGCTACAAAACATGGGTTTACTGTTTTCAGTCCTCAGCAACCTCTTTTGTTAGAACAAAACAGGTGAGTAAGAGCAGCGGAACAAGTTAGTCCACTTGATAAACTAATCTGCAGATAAGACTCTGGAGGACTTAGATCACTGCAAGGGGAAATAATGAGAACTATCTGATGAATGGTATCAGGAAATATCTCCTCTTAAAATGCCTTGTGGGTTTTCTGCAGTGGCATCTCTGGGCAGCCTCACACTTGAAAATTGAGTGCAGGCTCTAGAGGAGACTTCTGGGCAGTAATAACGTGCTCAGCTAACTCTACAGGTGCCTGTGTTTTGGTTTCCCTTTGAGAGAGCAGTTTCAGCTGTAGTAGAAAGCAGAGGATGTTTAAGATGGATCTAATTAGAAGATCTCCTCTTTGCATCATCTGAGAAGGTAAACCATATTATATGTCTGAGTTTCTTATTTATTTTCTAAAACATATGCAATGGTAACTATGGTGCTGGGCAGATTTACAAGAAAGGGTGTAATTATTCTGAAATATTTATTAAAAGGAGTAGTTTAGAGAAAAAGTAAAAAGAAGGTTATGTAGATCACCTATGTCCTGGGTTAAAGTGAGACCTTCCTATTTACTTCTAGGAACCTTCCACCCTTTTGGAGTTAACTGTAAACAACATTTTTCAGCCTGAATGTTGTGAAGAAGAGACTTGGTAGCAAATTTTTGCTTCTTTAGCTCTCTGGGACTGTATTTGTAAGTCAAGGAGAGTTATTGCCTCCCAGGAGACTGTGTGATAAATGATGGATGTGCCCCTGTATCTTCTGTTTCATCCTGAAGGCAGATACTTGAGATATTGCTTACTGAAAAATTTACAGCAATTCTTTTTTCAATGAGACATTACAAGAAGGAGGGGAACAGCCACATCACTTGAGAAGGACGTTAATATTTTCCCCCATTTGCAATCTGATATTTATCTGCTAGTTTGCTGGCTCTCTAGTTGTTGGTTTGGGATTTTTTGGTTTTTAAATAGCTGTCAAAGCCTGAGTAGCAGCAGGGTTCTAAATGACATGAGTTGTCCTCTGCATGGTTTATTATGTACACAATTAACAGGTCAGCTACATGGTTGCACAAGGGGTGTGCCTGAAAATAGAGGCTAACCCACAACATTTAAATGTGAATGCAAGTTTGTGACCAGTGTAAAAGATACACACAACACTCCAGCAGCTGCTGTTTAGCCTCATCATAAGCTTTAATGGCCTTTTTTCCTTTCTGTTATCTCTGCCATCAACTCGTTACCAATGAAATACAAGTTCTTTGGACAGATTAAGCTGTTGTACCACATGCTGTGAGCATGTCCTGCATATACAAAACGATCAGAAATCTTTGGTTTGTTAATATTTTGGTTATTAAGTCGTGTCTCTGTCTCAAAGACCTGAGTCACAGCTAATAACTTGGCAAGGTTTCCCTCTTGATCCATTTTGATCCACCTCGGTCTTGGGATTAGCCAGATCCATGACCATCTGGAGGTTGTCAAAACTGGATGTTTTCTAAAGAGCAAAATAGTATTTTTTGTAGAATGATGGATATGTTGATGGACACACCCAGAAAACTGAAAAGAAGCTTCCTTTTCCTACTTTTTTTTTTTAAATTCCCAATTCTGCCAGCCATTCATCCGCTGAATTAAAAGAAAAAAAAAAAGGAAAGGAAAGGGAAGGAAAGGGAAGGAAAGGGAAGGAAAGGAAAGGAAAGGAAAGGAAAGGAAAGGAAAGGAAAGGAAAGGAAAGGAAAGGAAAGAGAAAAGGAAAGGAAAGGAAAGGAAAGGAAAGGAAAGGAAAGGAAAGGAAAGGAAAGGAAAGAGAAAAGGAAAGGAAAGAAAAGAGAAAAGGAAAGGGAAGGAAAGAAAAGGAAAGGAAAGAGAAGAAAAGAGGAAAGGAAAGGAAAGAAAAGAAAAGAGGAAAGGAAAGGAAAGAAAAGAAAAGAGAAGAAAAGAGAAGGAAAGAAAAGAAAAGAGTAAAGGAAAGGAAAGAAAAGAAAAGAGAAGAAAAGAAAAGAAAAGAGAAAAGAAAAGAAAAAGCACCTATAACCATCTGGGGGTTTTGTATTTTGGGGTGGAGTGGAAAGATATTCTGACTCAGTAAGATGTCTATTTTTCTGGTTATTCCTATGTAGAAGCATAAAAGCAGCCATGATGGGTCAGCTCAAGTGTCTAGATACCACTGTTTGCTGTTTTATTGGGGTTTGTTGGTTGGTTGGTTTGTTCTTTTTTTTCCTCTCTGTTGTTAGCCTGGAATATCTTAACATTAATTTTCCTTTTTTTAATTGCTCCTTAGAGTTCAGCTGACAATTCTTCTGACCCCGTTTCTGAGGGGTAATAGTCAGTTCAGAGTCCACCTCAGAATACATAATGTCAGGATCATTTCTTTCTACCTTACACTCACCAGTGCTGAATTTCATTAATCTCCTGACCCAGGCACTCAGTATCCTGTGATCCCTATGCAGCTCTTCACAAACAGACCTTGCTTTTGCTTGTCTCAGTCATGTAAGTTTTCCAGAGTGTTGTAGCACTAATCTCTGCCTTTTCCACCTCACTTGAGAACAGAAGACACAGACTTACATCCATGTTCCAGCAGAGCTCTAGTGATGACATCTCTCTATTGGAAAAGCCAATCATTTCTTCCTGGTTTTGTGTCCTCTCTTTTAACCAGGTCAATACCCAGTTGAATCTCTCACTGCAGATGAATGACCTTGGTGAGGAACCCCGACAAACCCTTACTGGATGCCCATGTTGGTGACATCACACATATTACTTGGCTCTAATCTCATTGCTGTCCTCTATCCATTCACAAGGTGAGACTACAGGTCGTGTTCATATTATAATTTTCTTTCATGGGCTCTTTTGGGCAGGAAACTCACAGTGAAGTCTCTTGTCTACTTGGGAGCAGCAGCTCTGACACGCAATGGTGGTGGCAATAGGCAATCCTTGCCAATGCCCATTACTGTGTCAGGAGGTGCTGATTTTTATGCTTCTGCATGGTGACCCACAGCCTTTCAGATCCTAGCATATGTGTGTGAACAGCCTTTTCAACACAGAGAGATCATAATTCTGCAAAAGCTCACGAAAAGTTTGAGATTGAAACTCCATGATCTTTAAGGTCCCTTCCAACCCAAACCGTTCTATGATTCTATGATTTCAATCAAATTGATGTTATCCATTCAGGTGTAGTTCAGAACTATTCTTAAGAGTCTTTTCTCAGTGTTTTCCTTTTTTAAAATGATTTTCACAGTCTGGCTGGGTTCTGCCTTTTCCTGTAGCTCTCTATGAGCTGTTAATTCTGGACTAGGGAGGTGCTTTGTTGGGAATAATAAAAAATTGCATATTGATAGCAAAATACTTTAGCTTCGTATCTTCGTATTCTTCAGCTTCCAGCCTATATTCCCTCTCCTGAATAAGATGTGTCAACATCTCCTATACCTACATCTACCATAAGGGTCCATGCAGGTTTTGCCTCTCTGTTTAAGTTTCACCATTCTATCTCCTGCATGCATAAATTAGCTTAGGTATTAATGATCTGGAAAAGGCTGGAGTTTGTGTGTTTTTATTTCAGGCCCCACATTATATTTCATGTTATTTTCTTGTTAACATCAGTGCAATTAATGGAGATGTATACCAAAACCTAAAAATGACAAGTGTTTTTTTTCCAGGGGATATCACTTTTTGTTGTTTCCCTTGTTAGCCAAGGGGTACCAAAGAAGAAGAAACCTGTAGATGAGCCCATGATTTTGCAACAGCCCTCTCCAGAGTGGGACAGGGTTGGTAGCAGAGCTCTCCCTGCTGCAACAGGACAGTATTTCTAATTACTCCCTCATGTTCTGTCTGTTCATTTGCCAAGTACCACGGTGAGGAAAATCTGAAGGTCCAAAGTCAACTTTTCTCATGGCAGATGAATTTCTAGCATCTCACTTGTGCCTGTTAGGAATCTGCTCATGGCTATGCTTTCTCCACGAGTTTGTTTCCTCCTTCCATTTTAACTAGGTACAGCAATGAGGGGGGGGAAGGAAGTATGAGGGAAGCAGTTTGGTGACAGTGGCAGAGGAATAATTACAGAGCTTGTTCTGTGCTGTGTCTGGGGTGGATTGAACAGGCAGAGAGTTCTGAGAAAGTCTGAACATGCTGCCTTTGCAGTGTGTGCTGGTGCTCCCTGCTGTGGGTCAGCTGAAAATTCCCTGATCCTTTTGCTACGTTTTGTTTTCAGGCTGTACAGCAAAGTCACTGCACAAGATGCCATCCCAGAGCACTACAGGTCTCCACTGCCTACTTCTACTGGTCACAGTATGTTGCCAGACATCACAGGACTCAAACTTTGATCCATTCTCCCCATATGGAGTGAGTATCCTTTCCCAGCCTCACTGGTTTTCACTTGGTCTCTGCTGTAGGATCCCTCTGCTGTAGCTCCTCTTTACATCCACAGAACATTAAAGGAAGTCAGTATAAAATCAGGTGGGGAAACTGAACCCAGAATCTCCTCAGAGGTCTTTAAAAAATCCAGACACGGGGCTCCTCTTGCTTCCCAGTCATAAAGCCTCTCCAGAAGGAACTGAGCAAACTGTTTTCTCATGTACATCATGCTGTAGGGGATTAAAATCACTGATGGCTTGGCTAAGCCCAGGAAACAGTTACATGGGCACTGGTCCTAATGGGATTTACCATTAGAGAATGAGTCATCATTATCTCATGAGAGAGAGAAACCAAATAAATCCTGCCTAGAAGTGGTGTGTCAACAAAACTATCTCAGGCACAGAGGTGCTTACAGGTAGGTGACAGGAATCTCACCACTGTCCTGACAGCAGGACAAGTACCTATGACCAAATTGCTGCTGGGACTCAGACTTCAGTTTCCTACTTTTTCAATAATCCTCACACACCTTTTTTGCTTCATCAGTTGTGCAACTTATGGAAAGTCATTTTGTGATTTGTCCTCTGTGCGGGTTTCCTAACAGTGTCTGCAGAAATAGTCCTTAACTAGAAAGGACAAAAGAGGAACAGAGAAACAAAGGGACTGATCAAATGGAAGTTAATATTCTCTAGGAAAGAAAACTAGTCTACAAATCTACCAACTCTTGGTCTAGCACAACTTTTATTAGACCAGAAAATACTTTTTTTTCTTCTACACTATGAACCCTGTGAAGCTCAAATGGATTCTAACATCGACATTCAGCCCCTAGCACCACAGGAACCTTGGTTCTGGTGGACTGACTAGAACACAATGTGCTTTTTGATCAGGTTGAAAAAGGCAAGAAGTGAAGAGGAAGACTGGAACTCCTTAAGTGGTTTCTGCCACCATTCCCTGTCTTGGCAACCCAAGATGTAGCTAGTTCTAGCAGCTCTGTCTGCTGTTTGGCAGATGTCGAGTAGTCACCAAGTATCTTGTTTGTTCTGGGTTTTTTTTCCAAACTGTTTTAGGCATTGTCATGAAAAGAGTAACATTTTAGTTTTTAGCATCATTGATCCATGGATGATCCTGCAAATGAATCATCACTTCATGGTGTGAATCTGCCAACTATTTAATGACATAATAATACCCTGTAGTTCTCTAAAAAAAGGAAACCACTGAGATCCAGCCTGGGGGGAGAAGTGGATCACAGCCAGCTCTCTGTAACTCTGGCAGCTAACCTCTCAGGTGAAAGGTGGTACCTAGCAGTGCAAAGGTGCCAGTGGACTTGGGAGCCTGAGTGCCAGCACAGCTGTGACACGGAGCCCAGATCTAATCACACACCAGATGGTTCCTTTATGTAAAGAGATGACTTAAGGGCTGCCAAGCTATTCACCCTGTCTGTAAATAAAGACCTCAGTAGAACTCAAGAAACTGGCAAAGCTGCAAATTTCCTGCCTGTGTTTTCGCTTGTTCTTCAGCCTTTCTTGCTAACTGTGGTGCCAGGGTATTTTTAGGGCATGACTGAAAAAAAAAACATAAAAAAAGGTCTGTACCTCATTTGGCTGCATCAGGTCGTACAGAAATTGTACCAGCAGTGCCCTGGTCAGCTGTGTGCCTCAGGTGGCTCACACAAGAGCTGCCCTGCCACAGGAGCTGGAGCCAAATCTCCTTTGTCCTCCTACTCAGTCTGGCATTGCTGCTGCAGAGCAGAGAGCTCAGAGCAGAGGAGAGCAGAGGGCTGTGAATCTGCTCTCTGCATTGAAAGGCTGACTGGCCAGGCCTCCCAAGCAGTGGGCAAGTCTGGACCAGGACTGAGAGCACTGCCTCAGCCCCACGGCTGGTTTGCAGCTCAGGCACAGGATTTCTGCTCCACTGAGATAACTGCCTTACAGACATGTGCAAAGAGACACTCAGTACGTCCTGAGCTGGTGTTTAACATTTCCCTGCTTGGGAGATATTAATATTCTGTTTAAAGAGGGAGCGAGGAGGGGCAGATTGTTGGGGGGAAAAAATTCTACATGTCAGTGTTTTCTTCACAAATTCTTTCATGTCAATGACAGCAGTTAAAGGTTCAGTTTGTTTTTCACAGAGCTTCACTGTTTTTCCCACAGATTGACAGTGCACTGGAAGAGGGAGGCGTCCAGCCAGAGATGCAAAGGCAGAAGCGAAAGAGTATGTACACAAACATATGGTATCAGAGCAGGTTCCTGGTAAGCCAGGGGTGAAATCACTGTTGGGGACAGCATCTCTGGAGGCACTGAACGGAGATCATCCAGGGGGAGTAGCTGTGGTTTAACCCCAGGCAGCAGCTAAGCACCGTGCAGCTGCAGGCTCCCTGTCCCCAGGTGGCATGGGGGACAGAGTCAGGAGGGTGAAAGGGAGAAAAATTCTTTCTTCATCTTCCACCAGCTTTTACTTCTGAGCATGACATCATATGATGTGGACGACTCACTCCAGATCGTGTGGTGTGTGAGATCAGACTGCTCAGCTAGGGTCAGCTGTCCCAGCTGTGTCCCCTTCCAGGTTCTTGTGCACCCCATGACTGCTTGTGGGGAGGACAGAGGAGAAGAAGAGAAAGCCTCTCTGCTGTGCAGGCACTGCTCAGCAACAGCCTGAACACTGCTGTGGTACCAGCACTGTTTTCATCACAAATCCAAACCACGGCTCCACACAAGCTGCTATGAAGAAATTTAACTCTACTCCAGCAAAAAAAGCAGGACAGTAGTAGTAAGGGCACAAATTAAAGAGATGGAGACTTCTGTCTGGTTGGAGACTGAAATATGTGAGCATGGCTCCTATGCAAGGTGAAATATATGTTGTAGAATAAAACCTGAACCTCTTAGCAGGACAGGGGTCACAAGATAATTCTGTATGTCTTTAGGCTATGGTTGACAACCCGACTACTTTCTGAGTCAAATGAGAGAAAGGATGGGACAGCTTTTCTCTGCATCAGTTTCCTATTGCCCTAAGACCAAAGAAATCTGGTTTTTGTCAGATGAGCAGCAGAGAGAACACATGCAGAACATCTGCTGAGTAGGGATCAGTAAGATTTCCTCATTAGAATGCCACACTAAGATACCATTAAATAGCAACAGAGCCTAAATACCCAAACGGGAGCCATCAGTTTATGACTTACCCTCCCATGCAGCTTTGCATTCTCATGTTATTTCTCTTCCAGTGCTTTTTTTTGACCTTCCACCTCCGGAGTACACTGTTGACATTGAAGTAAGCCTTATGGATTCATCTTTTCTGGAGCCAGTCAAAGAGTATTTAAAAAACCTTAATCTTTCAACAAGCATTTCAAATGTAGACGTGACAATTTCAAACGTCAGCGTTACAACAGGTGGGTGGGTTATTTGTTTTTATATTCTGGGTGATATGCTTTTATAACAGCATTTGATTTCTGACAGTTTTACCATCCCTCACACTGAGACACCAACAAAACTGAACTGATCTGACAAGACTGAACCTCCAGCACACAAGGGTGTGTTTTGTTATCTTGCATCCCAACACTCCTCTTTACATAATGTTGGCATTAGGAATAGCCCTCCATGCTTTTCTTTTCCTAAGGAAGGGACAAAGCCAGAGGAAGCCTGAGCCAAAGGATTTTGCTCCAGTCTAACAAGCAGTCTGAGCTACTTTCAAGTTTCAGGAAGCTGTGACAGTGGTTATCAGACTGTTTACTTCCCTCCACTTGCATTTGGAATGTAAATCTCTGTACGAGGCTGCCCTCTGACCCTGACAGAGACCACATCTCCTGCAGCCACCTCCTGAGCTAACTCACTAAACCTATTCCTTCAGGGCAGAGGATCAGGCAGGTTTCATTACACGGGTTGTGGTTGTGCAACTTCACCTCCAAGTCACTACCACGGCAGAGGGCAGACAAGCACACAAACATTTCCAGCAGCAGAGGAGGAGATTTGGTGCCTCTTTACCACTGGCCTGTAAAGCAGTGAAAGGAAGTGTTCACCAGCTCTCCAAACAACATGCAAATGGGGACTTTAAAGGCCCTCAGGGTCACATGCAACGTATGAAAATCACTTTGTTAATATCTTACTATTCCAATGGCACATTAAGAGCAGAAAAATTACAGTGAAGTGCTTTTTGGTTGGGTTTTTTTGTTTGTTTGTTTGCTTTCAAGGGTTTTTCTTTGTGTGGTTTTGGTTTTTTTTTTGGGGTTATGTTTTGTTTTGTTTAGACAGAACGTTGTTAAAGCACTCTGTGATTATGTTACCTTCTCTCATGTAGCACTTGTCAGGATACAGTCAGAAGGACACAACACCTTGTCAGCCATCAGGACTTTGAACAAGCATGACATGCTATTGCAACCTCTAACAGCCTACACGTTTGCTTTTAGCCCAGGCATTATAGAAACAGCCAATCTGAAAACTCTTGTAGGACGATAGCAAATATCTCAGATGAGTTTGTAGGATCAGGCTTCACATCTCCATTCGATTGCTTAAAAGTGATTGATCAGCCTCCCCCCTGTACCTGCCTGGATCCTGTTTCTGGTTAGTCATTTTTAATCAGTCTAGTAAGATTTGCAAGGTCTCAGATCATCCTGTTTGCATCGTTCAGCTGAACTCACAAAAAGGGCAACATTCAGCTGAGGTCACTGGTATAAAGACACGGTGGGGTAAATATAACACAGCATGTTGTGCCCCAGGTACCATTCTCACAACGTTTCTCTGTCTGTCTGATGCTAGTCTGTCTGCCCAACCCTGAGAACAAAAGCTGCTGTTCTTGTGAAAGTGGATATGCCTGGCCAAGTGCAGTGTGCAGTGACTTGGTAACCTGCCCTTCCATCAGCCTAGCACCCGACCTACCCTGCAGCTACGTGAAGGAAATGCCTCTCTCTGGGCCTTACTGTGAGCCCCAGACTGAAGGTAAGGAGAAACAGAGCTGGGCTCCACCACTGTACAACTGATATGCTGGTTAACGGGGTGATGAAGAAGCACGTTGGGGCTGAGCTGGCTGCCACATCATCTATGCATGTAGGAAGTCTGTAAAGATAGTGTAGAGCTCTTCTTTTTTGTGATGTGGGTCCACTCTGACCCAAGGACTTGGAGATATTTAATCTGTGCCAGAGCCCTAGCTCCTGGAATCACTCACGTGCCTCTTTGGTACTTGCAGCTTCTGCTAAGCAAAGCAAGTTTCATCTCACCAGATTTTCAACACAGGAACTTAAAAATATAACCAAAGTATGCTATAGTGCTCAAGAAAAGAGAAGGAACAAAAAATACCCAGCATGTATATTTTCTCTGGTTCTATTATTTCACTACTCTCATGGCAAGGTGACCATGACTCTTTAGGAATTTTTTTAGGATGTTTGGACACTTAGGCTAAGGCCACAGAGGGGAGCAGTACCTGTTGTCTTTATAAGCCAAGACAAACTCCCACAAGGGTCTGTCTCTGATTCATGATGAAATATCATGCACAGATACCCAGAGGTAGCCCTAGAGTGGAAGAAGTCCAGTTTTGCCAGCATGCTCCTTCCAAACAGCTTCCAAACTGCTTGGAGGCAATGCTTTTATCACAGGGCAGCCCTCTATCAACACCACTATACTATCTCCAGGACTAGAGCTAGTATCTCTTCCTTGTGGAAGGCACACACCCCTTCAAACTGTAAGGCCCTGGGTGCAATCCTCCTCCGTGGCATGGTATAGACATGTCCTTAAATGGACAAAATTTAGAAAATTTTAGCAGTGTAGGGGAAAGGGACCTGGGGCTGCTGTGGTTCCTCCTGGAGAAGGAAGACCTTGTTTTGGCCTTTCAATACACCAAGAAGACCTATAAGAAAGACAAAGAAAGCCTTTTCACTAGGATCTGTAGTGACAGGACAAGGGGCAACAGTTTTAAACTGCAAGAGCATAGATTTAGACTAGACATAAGGAAGAAATTATTTACAGTGAAGGTGGTGAGGCACTGGAACAGGCTGCCCAGAGAAGTTTTGGATGCCCCACCATAGAATGGTTCAAAGTCAGGATGGAAGTTCCTGCCTATGGCAGGGAGATTGGACTAGATGATCTTTAAATGCCCCTTCCAACCCAAATCATTGTAGGTTTGTAAGATTCTGTCTTTAATTTGTAAGAAAAAAAAACACTTTGTAAGCACTGCTTTTGATTATTTTTACCTTTCCTTTTGTTTTTCCTCACAGACTCATGTGATGTAGCAACTCCTGTTGTAATGAATATGTCAGTCAGACTCGACATAGAATTTCAGGACGATCTCGGGGATTCTTCTTCTGGATTATACAAAGAATACAAAGCTGACCTTGAAAAAGTGGTAATGACTTTTGTTTCCTATATCTGAAGGTAGAAAGACCTCTAAGAAACATGGTATTTAGCCTAAGTATCTGGCACGTAGTGTGCACTGTCACTGTTCCTGTGGGGAGTAGTGAAGTATGCAGCAGTAGTAGCTACAGGAGGGCCAATATTCCCTTTCATTTTGATATGATGGCTGACAGCATTTATGAAATTCAGTGTTTAGGAATCTTCTGCATCAAAACTGTGATGAAAAAAAAAAAGTCATATTCTTGGTCCCAGCTTAAATACAAGTGTATGCACAGAATGAAACCATCAGCACAGATTTATCCCAGTGCCACAGGGCAGAGCACCAGGCCTGTGCTGTCAGATATGCTACATGTCCTGACTCATACTAGTGTTGAATGGAGAGTTTCTTGTTTTAAGTATGCTAGAATAATATACAGAGAACTTATGTCATGTAATCTGTCTTTGTTTACAGTTTCATGCTAGCTACAGATGCTTACCAGGCTTTGTATCGACCACAGTAACTGGTTTCAGGTGAGTAAACAATTTCTTTTCTTCCTGGAAGACACAAAACCTTCTGTCCAGTCTCAAGGTCAGCAAAGACTCCATTCACACTGCCTAGAACCCACACCCAGAATATACAGACTGAATAACACCAGAATAGCTGTAAAGGAAAGCTGAAATACTAGCGTGGGAGTTGGATTGTGGATAAAATTCACTACTGAGCAAAAGTCAAAGAAATATAACCATTCTCCTTTTGGATCAAAGCCTTTTGTGGGAAGGACTGAATTCCACCCAAAAGAGGAAAAGGATGTGAATAAACCTAACATGACCTTCCCAGGTCATCAGGAAGATGAATTAGTACACTGACTCTGAAAGTAAGATTGGATCTGTATAAAAGAGACATTACTTAAGTCCCCACATGTTTAAATGCAGCTGTATTTTGTATTTTTCAAGGGATGTTTACTAGAAATAGGCAGCAGACAAAGGAGGTGTCACACAGAGGTGTTCTTACTTGGGGAAGAGCTGTAGCACAGTGTTCTTATGTACCAGAGCAAGTCTTGAGTCACAACTGGAGCCTTCACAGACGAGCCCTGTGAAGCCTTCCTAGCCCTGCAAGATGGGTCACCACAACACAGAAACCCACTGATATCCAAGGATATTTAATTCTGGTGCTTTTCTCATTCTTGTATTTGTTTAGTCCTGGAAGTGTTTTTGTGAACTACGAAGTAAAAGCAGGACCAGCCAGCTTCAATCAGATATCAAATTCCAACAAAGTTGTACCACAATTGCTACCTGAATTTTACCAGATAAACCAATCTACCTTCACAACACAAATAACTGGTAAGTTTAAAGAACTCTCAGTGTTTTTCTTCAACCCTGAATTTAGTATTTCTAGCCTGAGCCACGTAGTTGCCTTATGCTGATGATTATTTGGTATTAAACCTTCAAAACCCATTTATTTAATTTCATGCTGTGCCACCAAGGCTTAGGACTTCGATGAGATGACCATGCATGCAGTACCTCCCACAGGAAACCCATCCTTGCAACTACTCCACCGACCCCTGAAGCAGTCTCCCCATGGGAGAGGAATTGAGTACCCTTAGGTTCACTTCCAGAACTAAGAAATCTCTTAGCATATCACGCTGCCAGCACTTCCCCATTCTTCAAATAAAAAAATCTCTTGCCATTTACAGGAGAACATGTTCCCCCTGGCTTCCTTGGCACATTTTCCATGCTGCTGCTGAACTGGTTAAATTCAGTTGGCTGATCAATACCCCAGAGGTGCTGTGCTCTCAGTGCACCAGGCGCTGGACTGTCTGTCTCAGAGAATTACTTCAGTCTGGTTGCTTCCTCCAACTTAGAAAGGAGTGATGGTAGTAGTATTTCTGGCTCTCTGCATAAAACCTTCTGGGATCTTTGGCTGGCGTAGAAGGATATGTTGTGGGAGAATTGCATAGCTTGTATCAGAGGTGGTGTTCTGCAACTGGTACTGAGTGTATATTAGTTGTGAAGCACCCAGGATTCCAGCAGGATGAAGGACACCGTGTAGACATGAGCTGAAAAGCCAATAATGCAGAATATTGCTCTTTGTCTTCCCAGATCAGACAAACTTCACCGTGAGTCCTGCAGACATTTTTGAAGGGGATACAGTAAAACTGATTTGTGAGATAAATTCAACATCTGATGATGTCACCTGGTATCACTTTGATCAGATCATCCCAGGCAGCTTTCGGTATATGATGGAGAGAAAAATTTCGAGGAAACGCTCGAGGTCGATTCTTAAAATTATCAACGTTACAATGAAGGATTCTGGTATGATTTTCTGTCGTTAAAATGGCAGTTGTAAAGCTAGTGTAGTTAGAAAATCAGAAACAGGTAAATTGGTGGCATTCTGCTGGGAGGAGTTAGTTATTAAGGGAATTATCATGTACTGTCAGAGCTTTGGCTCGAGCTCCCACTCAGTTCTCTTTGGACCACGCACTTTACATTCAACTTCAAAAAGGGTAACTTGTGACCAGGTATATGTGCACAAATACATGAGGTAGGAATCGTGGCTGCAAACTTCTCCCAGGGCTAAGGATGCCCTGAACTTTGGTGTCTCCACTCCTATGTGAACAGGCTACTGATCTGGCTATCCAAATGAGACAGGAGCCCCCCCACACATCAAGGATGAAGTTTGGGGCACTGACTGCCAATTTCAAAAGGATGCCTGGCTGCACCCATGGCAGAAGTGCCTGAGAAAGTGGTTGATAAACATCCATCAATCTTTGGCTGAGCAGTGTATGTGCCTACACTGAGTGCCAGCTCTTGTGGAGTCCTCCCTGGGCACTGTCACCCACCCATCCTGTTTAGAAGCTTTTTGCATAGTGGGTCTGTGTTCTTACTATGATACGTTGCTGCCACATGGACTATGGGCAATACACAGATCCAAAACCTACAACCTCAGCCAGACTTTGTTTCTCAGTCCCAGAGTGCTGGTCTCTTAGGTACCCATCAGCACTGAAGCTGCCTAACCTGGACACACTGGCCACCAGGACTCTGCAGAAAGCATACTGCAGATGGCCTGAGGGAACACTTTGATTAGCAACTAGCAGAGCCACTGCAGAGCAGGGAGATGTGAAAAACAAGGTGTGGAAGTAGCTCCAAGCTCCAAACATAGAGGAAAAATCAGCAGAATGTGTTCTCAGTGCTAAGATGCTGTCCATGCTCTGTAGGCTCCTACAGGTGCACTTTCACCACCAGCAACCAGTTCCTCACGCTGATGTACAACGCCACGAGAACAGTAACAGTCTCTCAGCTCCACGTCACTCCCAACGTGAACAACATCAGTGTCACATGCAACAGTCCTGAGGTGCAGAGCAACAGCCCTCTGCTGTCCTGCTGCACTGACAGGCACTTGCTGTCACTTACAGGCGACTGGAAAGTAAATGGACCAATCAATATTAGAGGTAACGTTAACAAAAGATTATTTTTCACCTGCTAGGTTTGTTATTCCTCATGATTGTTACTCCTCCTAACTGCACAGCCCAAAGGTCAAGTCCCAGGATGAATACAGGGTATACTCCAAAGCTCTGGGTGTGGGGGGAGGGATGATGGATGGACAGCATGGTACAGACTCCATAGGTGTTGTGCAGGTGCTGGTGGGATTCTGGGCATCTCCATGCACTGGGCAGACATTGATGCTTAAAACTGTGCCATCCTGGATGGAAACAGCTGCCTGGACAAGCATCACACTATTTTTTCTCTAGTTTTGAGAGCATGAGGATGAGTGCATCTGTCTCCACTACTATCTCCAGAATCACCCTGGGGTATGAAAAGGTTCTGTGTACCACATACCAAAATTTGGCAACCAAGAGAGGCAGGTGCTGCACTTTGAAACAGCTGCAGCACAGCTAAATATTGAGGGCACAGCTTCTCTCTCCACTTGTCACTGTGAGACATCACAGACCAATTGAGTCAGTGGCATCCAACAAGTTTTAGCTTATAATACGAATATAAAGAGTTAATAAAGTGTCAAATAAGTGTGCTACAAAATAACATCAATAGAAACATTTATAAATGTCTATGAACCCTAGTTCTAAACGGTCTATTTCCCTTTTAATATCTTTATGGATATCAATGAACTGTTTATTGTTAAGTCTCTGTTGTAAATGAAATTTAGTAGAAAGCTGGGCAGCAGAAGGAGAGAAAACCTTCAAAGCTCATGTGCACAGTCATTTCCACAGAGGACAGGTCCTGGCGTGCAGGAGTGCTTGCAGAGGGAGGGGTGATCCTGGCCTGCTGTCACGAGCTGGTTTATCCTGAATTCCCTGTGGCCAGGATTTCCTCCAGGGAACTCTGCTTTCATGGCAGGCACTCTTTCAGCTGCAGCATGGGACAGCTTTAGTGGGGTTTCCCCCTTAGAGCTAAACCAGCATTCCTCAGATTTAAAGTTGAATGAGCGTCAAGTATCTCCAAATGTTTGTTTTAAAATAAGATGGCATTGAAATATGCAGTATTTACCCCTGGTTTGCTTGCCTTACCCATCCTAAATATCACAGATAAAGAGGTTGAGCTGAACCAGAATACTCTTCATTTTGATTTATCTTGAGGTATCCAAGCAACGTTGCTCTCAAACTGGTTTTGACTGGAGGTGCCCATCGCTGTGGTGAGAGCCATTTTCAGGCCTTTGGAAAACCACCATGGGTGTTCCTAGAGCAAAAGATATGAGTGAACTTCAGCAATGATGAGTTAAAAGTGCCCTGTTGTCACAGGTTACATACAAACTCACAAAGGTTTTCCTCAGCTAAAGTGCTCGCTTGTGATTTCCAGAGCCCAGGTACTTTCAGATACCCGTAGGTCCTTCAAGGAATGCTTATTTCTCTCTAGGAGTCTCCAGTTTCAGTGGAAACTGCACTGAATACAGGCTGAACGTCTCCGAATCGCTGTGCCCACCTGAGCACTCGGGCACAGTGACAACATACACCTGTGAGCTGCGGACTGGACACGGCGCCAGGAGCAGCCAAAGCATCCGAGTGACGTACCTGCGGGCAGGTGAGGGTCAGCTGCCACCTAACAGGCCACCAGCTCTGAACCTGCAGGTGGCCTCTGTGACATATGCCATTTGCAAACTGATTATAACAAGTGACTCTCAATAATATATTTATCTTGTGCTGTCTCAGCCCATGTAACAATATCTTCAAGCACAAACTCACTCGTTTCCGAGGGACACGCGTTCAATCTAACCTGTGAAAGTGATGTCAGCAAGTATGACAGCATCAGCTGGAAAATCCAGTCTGGGAACAGCACAAAAACAGTAGACTGTGACAAGTGCATCGACAGCAAACCTCCAGCCACGTCTGTGCTCACAGTGATGAGTGCTACACAGGACTGGAACGGTGAGTGAACCTCCTTTGTTTTGACTAGAGTCATAGAATCATAGAACCATAGAATGTCTGGGCTGGAAGGAACCTCCAAAGATCATCTAGTCCAACCCCCCTGCCATAAGCAGGGACATCTCCAACTAGACCAAGCTACCCAGAGCCTCATCCAGCCTGATCTTGAACATCTCCAGGGATGGGGCCTCCACCACCTCTCTGGGCAATCTATTCCAATGGTTTATCACCCTCATATAGCAATGAAATCTCTGCACCAGATCATCTGCAGCATCCTTAGCCCTGCAAATCCTGGCCACGGTAAATGAAAAAAAAGAGTTAAAGTCATCATTCTAGAGGACAGCAAGATATGGGAGCACATCTGTTGACTGAGACATTGGTTTTGTGTCACTCCTTTCAGGCACCTACATCTGCACATTCTCCCAGAATTACCTGGAGAGTTCTGCCAACATGACAATTGAGGTTATTTCCTTGCCTCTGAAGGAGAACATCCTGATAGACCCCATTAAAGCATCTGTACCATGTAAAGTACAGCAAGCCCTTGAGTGCTGCATAGGTGCTGACACCATGGAAGGTTACACTGTCACGTTTGTGGTTCCACAGAATGAATTTCAAGCTGGTAAGAAACAATAAACTTGCAGAATCACTAGTTGCACTGTTACAACCCAGCCCCTGTGTGGCTTTGTTTATGTTTTTAATCTTGGCTAGTGTAACTAATTCATACCTACTGCTATTATGTCAACCCATAAGTACCCCTGGGAGTGTAAAAAAAAAAGTTTCACACAAAAAAGTAATGGAGATTTTTTGGGGATGATTACTCTGCCCAGGAGCATGGCTGAGATTAATAGAAGAGCAACTGAAGTCACTGCTGTGGTGGTAAATACATAATAGGTAAATTCAACGTTTGGTTTGCCCCTCCAGGCAGTGAGAAGTGAGTATCCTCATCATTGTTCACATTAGAAATTGCTGAATTCTATTTATTTGCTTTAATCTTCCCCCCTGTTCATTTTTTGGTCTGAGTATTGTGGTGATGTTACTTAAGAAGATGATCTACTAATTCATGAAAAATGTATAGTAACACATTAAGCATTAAATTCAAGGAACTCTTCTATTTGCTTCGAGGATACAAGTAACATACCTCTAAAAACACAAAAGCCTAAGCTTCCATATCTTCAGATTTAGAGCACTTCTTCAGCTTCCCTGGCTAGCTTTTATACACTAGATGTTTTCAAGCAGGTTAAAACACAGTTCCCCTTGAGGGGGTGGGGAGGGTGGAGGGGAAAGGCAAAGAAGAGTGACCTCAACTAATGTATAAATGCAAAATCAACAGACCAAAGTGTAAAACAGGGAGAGACTGAGAGGTCCTTTGGCTGCTAAGAAAAATGCCAAGATCTATTTGGAAGAGGCTGGGGGCAAAGACCCTCAGGCACAGGCATACTGAAAAGCAAAGGGAGCGTGGTACAGATCTGGAGCTCAAAAGAACCATGTAAGAACAGCAAAAAAGTATCCTAGGCTAAAAGAAACACCTGTGGTTGAAGCAGAAGCAAGAAGAGCAGCAGCCTCCAAAATGGTTTCGAAAGCAAATTTTGGTTCCTGCACAGTAGCAGAGAGTTTGGGCAGGATTTGCTCATACAGCAGTAACTGATAAGGTCCTGATCACACAGCAGCTCCCAGAAGCTTTAGCAAGTGAGGAGCAAGAGACAGAAATCAGTGTACAGAAAGGAAGGAGTTTTTTTTTTCCCACAAAGAAAGTGTTTTTTTCTCTAAGAGCCACAGAAGAGAAAGTTTTGCAGAAGCTTTCTGCTGTCTGCAGGCTGATTGACCCCAGACCTGTGCTAACCTGTCTTAATCCTTCCATACAGAGCAAAAGAAAAAAAAAAATTTGTTTTGCTACACGTACAATTACACAGAAACAGAATGCAAGGCAAAGGAAAATCTCACAGCATACTGCAGGTTCGTTAACCGCATCGGGCAGGAAGTCAGCAGCGAGAGGATAAGTCTGCACCTGATACCTGGTAAGAAAAAAGTCACTATTTAAAGCTGTTCACTAGGAAATCCCAGTATCTTTGTTAAATTAGAAGCCACAACACCTTACAAGAGTGCGATTTGCCAGCCAAGAATTTTTGTCTCCTTTATTTGATGGGAAATTCTGAAATCCATAGGAAAATGTCCATTTTGCTGTGTTTTTAAAAAAATAAACACACAAGATCTTTTGTCTTCATTGCATTTGACAGTGATCCCAGCATGTTCCCAAGCAGTTATAGTTCAGCTGTCTTCTGTCCCTACTTCCTTCTGGTGCAGCCCACACCACCAAGCTCCATCCTCTGTGTTGAAGGGTGGTCGTTGCTTGCACCAGCAATTTAGCAAAGGAAAAAGGCTGTGGTGCCTCAGGAAGAATTTGTCTAGCTCAGGAGGTCAGCCTGTGGGAGAGCACATCCACTTTAAACACAAGAAGGGCAACCTCCATGAGGTGTTGCAGAGACCTGGGCAGACCTGGCTTCCAGTCAGCTTGGCAGGAAACCCTGAGTAGTTAGAATTCAGCACTGCTAAATCCAGCTTCAAGGTTTAGTCCTGAGAGAGTCTGGATATATTGGTTCCTTGTTCTAAATTGCAAAGAAATAAACTTTGGACATCCCTATAATGCAGAAAGTATTTTTCCACAGTAGTGGTGCCTGTTGTGGAATCACTGTACATGACCAGATTTCATTCTCTTTAGGCAACAAATATGCAGACACTTTATTTACTTTAATCAGCAGATACTTGCTGATAAGTTTAACCCAGTCAAAGCCAATTAACAGGAATCATTGTTCATGAAAAAGGTGTTGAGGCCTCATTATCAGGGTCTTAATGAATTTCCTATTGGTACTACAGAAGCACTGAGTCCTCAGCTGAATAAACTTCACATGAATTACTGTTTGCATAATGGTCAATATCAGTCCACTCCACCTCTGGCTAACCCTATAATCTAACAGACAAATCCTAAAACTTTGGCTATTGGCTTGTTGATTTGATTCAGTGCTCAAAACCAAGAGGCTTTATTCAATTTCTTTCTTAATTTCATGATTTCAAACAAAAGGGAATGCAAGACATATACACCTGGAAAAGCCATAATTAAGGATGACAGCAAGCAAAATCCTGACTGATTTAAAGACCTCTGAACTTCAGGAGGTCATAGGCTTGATGGGGTTAAATTATTCATCTCCCTGCTTCTTAGCTTTCTCTGTCTCTTTCTCAATACAGAGAAGGAAGTTTCCTGCTCAGGAAGCTTTGGCATTGGAAGAGAAGGGGACACATTAATAAAGCCATGTCTGGAGTTAAATAATACAGGTAGTTTTACACGAGGCAATAAAACTTACAAATGCTCCAAGAAAGCCTGGAAGCTTGAAAAGGATAACTGCCTGTCTGTAGCAATAAACAACCTACTGACTAGTGCTGAGGTAAGATTTTTAAGCTTTTCAGAGGCTGGGGCAGTGGTGGAGTAGGAAAGTGCAAAAAAATTTTTGTTGTTTGTTCATTTGCTTACCATAATCTAAAGGATATAAAGTGTTAAAAAGTCAAATAATTAATCGAAACTGTCTTTTAAAAGATATAAATAAAGACTGTGTATGCCTACACAAGTCAGTGAGAGAGGTGAGGTTCCCTTCTCTGGCCTGGAGGGCAGGTGGAACTGCATGGCTGATATCCATACACATGGACACTCTGTCCCCCAGAGAAGGTGACTGTGTCCAGTGGGAGCAGTCACTGGCCTGGAGTGTTCCTGAACCATGCTCAGGCTTTGCCACAGTGAACAATGTCTATAGGGGTACCTCTTATGAAGGAGGATCAAGCTCTAGGCAAACTGCACACGTGTGATGTCCTGTTATCTTCTATTCCAGGCCTTGTCCAAGAGTCCTGAGGCAAAAGCAAAACTACCTAAATACCTTGAAGAGCTTAAGAAACAGACAAGCAAGGAGCAAAGCATAATAAACAGCTCTCCTGCAAACCTGGGTGCAATCGTTACCGTCCTGGGTATAGTCTCCTCTATCCCAGCAGTTGCAGAGGAGAGCACTATTCAAGTAAGGTTTGATTTTAAGTCTTACCTGTGCTTATCGAGCCCTTTCACAGTTAGATTCACAGCTAGGGTCAGGAAAAGGCAAGTATTAAAGGAATGAGATGAAATGATAGCAAAGATGAACTTCAGCATAAAAAGGGCATTCACCTGTTAGAGCAGGTTCAGAGGAGGGCCATAAAAATGAGCAGGGGGCTGGAACACCTCTGCTAGGAGGCAAGGCTGAGAGAGTTGGGGTTGTTCAGCCTGGAGAAGAGAAGGCTCCAGAAAGACCTTATTGTGGCCTCTCAATACTTTAAGTGGGCTTCTAGGAAAGATTGCCTTTTGCCACAGCCTGTAGTGACAGGACAAGGGGCAACAGTTTTAAATTGAAAGAGGGTAGATTTACATTGGACATTTTTTACAATGAGGGTAGTGAGACACTGGAACAGGTTGCCCAGAGAAGTTTTGTATGTCCCATCTTTGGAAGTGTTCAGGGTCACGCTGGGTGTCCCTGCCCTTGGCAGAAAGGGTGGACTGGGTGGTGTTTAAATGTCAAAACCTTTCTGTCTTTCTATGATTCTTTCAGTACAAGCAGAAACAGAAAAAAATGCTTGAAATAAAGATAGGGAGAGTAAATTGCTGGGGCCGTGGTCAAGCACAGAATGTCAGTTAGATGTTGCAACAAATGAACAGAAACATAAGACTTAGAAATACTGAGAAACCTTGATTGTGAGGTACAGAGTAAAAGCACTGCCCTTTTGATTAGAAAAGTGCAGAGGGTTTTGATGTTTTCTAGCTGGAGAACCCTACATGAGATTAAGCAAGAAATCAAAGACAGCACAAAGGCTGAGAAAGAAGGCAAAAAAGGCTGGAGAAGAAAAAGTACTATGTAAAAAAAAAACACCCCACTTGTATGGGATTTCAGTAACAGCATTATTCTGTTGGTATTCCAGAATTTCCTCTCCACAGTGGACTTTATTGTTGCTGATTCCACATCTGAAGTTTGGCAAGACCTGAATAATGAGGACGTACTCAAAAGGTCTTCATTACTGCATTCAGTAGAAAATTTTTCCCTGCACCTCCAACCAGTTAATAATACAATTCCTCCTGTATCTGTAAACACCCTTCAGCTACAAGGTGGAGTTGTCACAGAAAACAACACCACAGATTATAATAAGAACTTCTGCAGTACAAAAAACCTCACAGTTAGTGTGCTCATTGATAAATCTGAAATTCAGAGTCTATCCCAATATTCAACCATTGTCAGTGTGGTGTACTCAAACCTTGAGCATATTTTACCCCGGAATGGGCCCGAGGCTGTGAATGGTTTAGTGATATCAACAACTGTGAGCCATAACAAAAGCCAGAAATTCAATGTTAATATGACCTTTGCAAAGAAAAACTTGTCTCTAAAGATGCCCCGGTGTGTCTTTTGGAACTTCACTCTCAACAAAGAAGGGGGAGGCTGGGACACTCATGGCTGCACACCCACAGAGGTAGAAAACCATGTCATTTGCTCCTGCAATCACTTGACGTCATTCTCCATTCTGATGTCACCTGATAAATCCTCCCAGTTCATCTTTGAAGACTACATTACCTACATTGGCTTGGCCATTTCAATCTTGAGTTTGGCAGCCTGCATTGTGATTGAGTCCCTGGTCTGGAAATACGTGACCAACAACACCACCTCCTACATGCGCCACGTCTGCATCCTCAACATCGCCAGCTCCCTCCTCATCGCCGACGTTTGGTTCATCGTCACCGCCTCCATCAGCGACCAAAACCAACCCATAAGCAGAGACCTCTGTTTCGTGGCCACCTTCTGCATCCATTTGTTCTACCTGTGTGTCTTTTTCTGGATGCTCAGCCTGGGCCTCATTCTTTTCTACAGACTGATCTTCATCTTGCATAACACAAGCAAGACTGCTCAGAAAGCAGTGGTGTTCTGCCTGGGATACGGGTGCCCTTTTGTCATTGCAGTCATCACCATTGCCATCACGCTGCCAAGGAACAGCTACACCAGAAAGGATGTCTGTTGGCTCAACTGGAAGGACAGCAAAGCTCTCTTAGCCTTTGTCATACCTGCCCTGGTCATCGTGGCCATGAATTTGTTCATCACCGCAGTTGTTATAATAAAAATTCTGAGGCCAACTATTGGGGATAGGTCAAATAGGCAGGAGAAGAACTCTTTGTTTCAAATTGGCAAAAGTGTGGCCATCCTGACACCACTCTTAGGCCTCACCTGGGGATTTGGCCTTGCCACTATCATCAAGAATAGTCATCGAGCTTTCCACATCCTCTTTGCTGTGCTCAATGCTTTGCAGGTGAGTTACACGTATGTAGGGTTTTGTTTCCTCTATAATCATTTAACATGTAGTGGCATTATTGCTGCACTGTGCTTGGAGAGGAATAAAATCAGCTTGGGAAAGCTCATGTTTGCATTACACACACTTATTCCCAAAAGGGTCTTTGGGAAACCCAGTGCAGAAATTCAGCAGTGTTTTGTATTCTCTGCTGCCTTAACAGATCAAGCTGACACAAAGGTAACTTCCAAGTATGCCAGCAGCTTTGGGAAGAGTTTCATTCCTGCAGATGTGGAAAGTAGCCCTGTTATGTTCAGGTGGGCCAGCTTCAGCAGGGCTGGTCTCATTTACAGTGCACCTGGAGGCATCTTATTATGCACTTGTGGGTTCAAGTAATGAAACGACACGAAAGGCACCAAGAACAGCTGAATAGTACTAACAAAGGGAGGAATTGATCAAAATACACAATTTGTTTTCAGTCAGTATGACTTTTACAACAATGTAGTTAGGTGGCCAGTAAGACACCAGTGCAACACAATTTTTTAAGGATAGGATAATTATGTCTCAAGAATGGCATCAAAATTGTATGCTTCAGGCCAAACTCACTGGCCTTTTGTATTGTGAACCTGCAGGATATGTCTTCCACACACAAAGGTTGCTCCTTCCATATATGATTAGTGCTAGCAGACTATGTGTGCCTAACGAGCTTTTGTAGATCAGATATATGCACGGTTTAAATAGGCCAAGCCTGGAGAACTCCCACCACATCAGCAGCCTACTACGTGAGATGCAGTTACAAAATGCCTCCAGATAAACAGTTCAAACAGCCAACATGGGCTGAACCTGCCAGCTCACTTCTGGGGCATGGGCAGGATATGTCTTCCACACACAAAGGCTGCTCCTTCCAAATATGATTAGTGCTAGCAGACTGTGTGTGCCTAACTAGCTTTTGTAGATCAGATATATGCTCAGTTTAAATAGGCCAAGCCTGGAGAACTCCCACCACATCAGCAGCCTACTACGTGAGATGCAGTTACAAAATGCCTTCAGATAAACAGTTCAAACAGCCAACATGGGCCATGTTTGAGATAATTATGAGGTACTGCAGTTGAAAGGTTGATGTCATCAAACTGCATGTAATTTTCTCTTTCCTAGGGATTTCTCATTTTGGTGTTTGGGGCTCTCTGGGACAAGAGGGTAAGAATTCAAACTATTTCTTATATTATGTGAATATACTGTTGGAATTGCTATATTTACTGATTGATATATTTACTCAGTTGCTATATTTACTGATTTACTCAATGTAATTGATGTATTTATTGATTTCTTTTTAACAAATAGATACAAGAAGCCCTGCTGAAGAGGAATTCAATATCCAAGTGGAGTTCGCAGCAATCGAAGGTTAGAACCTTGACCTAAGAATGTATTTCCGTTACTGCTGATTAGTCTAACATCCTCCAAGTGTCTTTTAAGTCAAATGCACTTTATATGCTGAATTATTTATTAAAACTAGTCAGAGAAAAAGAAGACAATAACAATATAAATAGGAATGCACTCCCTTTTCCAAAGTTTATCATTTCACTCATAGTTTGTGAAAAATGAGAAGAAGGTTGGTGGACATTTGCTTTAAATTCCACAAAAAATAAGCCACAAAATGTAACAGAAACTTTAATTTAGAAAATAGAAAGTTTCAGCAGCACTATTATTTATTTGCAACCTAAGAGAAATGCAAAGGGGACTTCTTGGAGAAGAAGCTCTTCAGCTATGTGCAGGAAAGGATAGAAATACTGCAACTTGAACTCGTGAGACAGGGAGATAGGTTAAACTCAATTTTATGCTGGGAACAGAAAAATGGGAGGAAGTATGAATCATTTCTCAAAATCATGTCTATGTGTTGCAAAGACTCAGCTTTTAATAAGCAAAGAATAGAACATACATGAACGTATTTCTGGAAGCAAGCAGCCTAGACACACTCCTAGAAGAGAAGAGACTTGGATCCCATAGCCAGAAAATTTCTGCATTTAACTCAAAACATTCGGTGACTAAAATAAAGTAAAAATAATGTTGCAAACAGGGACTGGATCCTTAAGGTAGATCCTGGAAGGCTTCTCTTCCATCTGCAGAGAGTTTCTCTGGCCCAGGGAGCCTTGCACTCCTCTCTGCATTGAAGCACAGCTCAAATGGGTGTCTGGAAATGTCTCTGCTCAGGATAGCTCATCCACCTTAAGGGAGGAAACCAGTTCCACTAACAGCTTTAAAAGAAAAATTAAACTTTGCACAGTGCCTCAGGAAAATGTTTGCCAATAAATAAAATTAGGACACATATACAGGCAGCATTCA